TGTGGTCAAAACCAAACCAAAAATCAGTTTGTGGCTTTCAGGTTTTCAACAAGAAACTGTAAGGCCTGTAATAAAGCCTCTACTGTGCAGACCATTTTCATTCAGCCAGTGAGAATTTTCCATTACAAGAAGAGTGTAAAACACCCTTGTTCTACGCTCCTATTTGCACAGCCGAGATTCTCACTGCAGCTGAGGTCAGCCTCGAACACGGCACGCCATGCATTAAGACTGAGTGGAGCTACCAGTGCGGTTTTGTGAGCGTAACGCATAGGGATTCACCCTTATATTTGAGCCAGGGAAATCTCACCCAGCACTTAAGCGTTGTCCTTATCTTCACTGTAGTATGAAGCACCTTGGATAAAGATGAGATGGGGAGAACAAAGAGAGGAAAAACAGAGAAATGATCACCCTGGGGAAAAACAACAACAATAACACATAAATTGCAACATCTGGGCTCTCCTTGCCCCACTCCCCCTCCATGCTACACCACGAGGGAGGCCGGACAAGGCCTGAACCAAAGTGTGAACATAGCAAAAACGCCTGTAGACATCCTGGCTTCCATCCCTGGCGCTGATCTGCTGAGGGGTGAAACTGCATTTCCAAGCTACCCCTTGGAAAAGACAGATTGCAAGCAATGACCCACCCACATGGTTTTCCTGTAGCCAGAATTTAGATCTCAGCCCTGGGCAGTTCAGGAAATTCAAATGGGGCCGGTTTATGCTAAGCCTTTCCGGGCTTAGCCTTTGCAGAGGAGAGGAATTCAAACGGCAACCCTGCTCCAGCAGAGCCATTCACGGTGCGAGCAGGGTCACACAAGCAAGGCAATGTGAGCAAGGCAGTGCCACTCTTGGAGCTTGCACCAAGCCTGCCCGTGCAGCATAGTGAACCTGGTGAGCTTGCACATAAATAAGTCGTGTGAGACAAGCCGCAGGAATGGAGTTTATTGTTGTAATGAAGCAGCTTTGAGAGCAGGCCAGAGATCAGAGCAAGGTTTGCTGTCAACACGATGAAAACAGCTCAAGGAGAGATGAAGATCTCTGGCAGTGCTTGGAGGCACACCCTGGGAGACACGCGTCACGGAGCAGGACGGAGCATGCCGGGCTATCCGCAGGGCTGCTCATTACGGTTTCTTGCTGCCTCAAAGGCTTTAAGGTACAGAAGTTAAATCCCTCTTGATCTCAAGAACCTGATCCTGGAAGGCACTGAACACTACCCACTTGCAAAGGCAGGTAGACATAACCAGACCCCACCTTTCTGCCCACCCAGCCGCCCACCCCCTTCACATTGCAGAGACATGAGAGTTTCACTCCCACTTAAGTCAGCATTCAACCTCCACCCAGCAGCTCCTTCTGGACACCACCACAGCTTTGTGTACCTTGGTCCACAAAATACACTGTCCTGCTGAAAAAACTATTGCTCAAACATCACTTTTTTACCGCAAAGTTCCCGTTCCCCAAAAAGCCACAGGCCCCACAGCAAGAGCTTCACTCCAGAAGGAGGCACACGGAGGATTCCACAACCCACAGTGAACTTCCCCCTTGCTGCTGAATGAGGCGGAAAGCACCCCAAGCCCAACACGTTGGGTGACCCCAAAAATGTCCTGGGGTCAGAATCAAACTCAGTTTTCTGTGTCTGGCCCCAGTATGCATCTAAATCCTGGAGATAAGCCAGGACAGCTTGCTGCAAGGGATCTGATCCTGAGCATCCGAGCTCTTTGTGGGCACTTCATACGTAGACTGGAAACCCTTCCAGTGCTGATAGTGGGGAACAGGGAGATGGAGTCTCCTGCTTGGAGGAGCCTGCAGACGCAGCACGAGGGTCGGCCGGGGCGGCGCAGGCTGCGCACGGCATTGCAAAGACACGCGGGCTCACAAAGGCAGCCTGTGTTTATGCACCGAGCTATAAATACCCCTTTTCAAAAAGGCACAACTGGAAAAATGTCTAAACGTCTATTTTTGCCTCCTCTGCTTCACCCACTCGAAACATTGACATCATACCAAGCTCCTACTGAGCCGCAGCAATTCCTGAGATGTGGAGTGGCACCACTGCGCCCGGCACAAATGCGGAGGAAAGGAGAAAAGCATCTTTGTGGCCAGGGACGACAGACGGAGCAGCTCTTGGGCAGGGAGAATTCTTGCATGAAAATGCCCATTTTTTCCACAGCTCTCTGATTCTTTTGAAAATGCCTGGGCAAGGCTGAAGCACGGGCTATCACGGCTCTGCCCTGTGCTCCTCCATGGCTCACCTGCTGCCTGAACAGCAGCCAGGAGGCTTCCCATGCCCAGGTTCAGCTTTTCCAGGAAGCCAGCAGCTCTCTGAGGCCAAAAAAGGAGGGGAAGGTAGAAAAGGGCAGGTAGAACAAAACGAGTGCTTTACTGCGGAGCGGCAGCCACATAGTAAGGGATGAACCAAGCGGAGAATGCAGACCCAAAGCACTCAGGAAACACTGTTTTGGAAATACCTTGATCTTAGCCACACAAATGTTCATTCTGATCCCAAACTACTCCCATTTCACTCTGCAGAAAGGACTACTCCCAGCTTTTTGACATAGAGAGCAGCATGTTACTGCTGTGCAAGGGGGTAACTCTAAACACGCTGGTAGCCTGGACCTCTTCAGCAGCTTTGCATTCTGCCAATACACAAGCCAAGCCTCAAAGCAACATTATAATTTCACTCTGCAGAAAGAAAAGGGAGAGACTACTCCCAGCTTTTTGACACAGATAGCAACATGTTACTGCTGTGCGAGGGGGTAACTCCAGAACACCCCAGTAGCCTGGACCCCTTCAGCAGCTTTGCATTCTGCCAACACACAAGCCAAGCCTCAAAGCAACATTAAAAGCTTGATTGGGGTCCTAAGGCCTAGGGACCACCTTTCTTCACATCACCCCTCTCAGGCTCCTGCTTCCCTACGATTGCACTCACTCCTGCATGAAGTCAAGGGATATTTTGCTTAAGTCAGTCAGTCAGCACCTGGCTTATGTCTCTCCAATGGCCTGAGCATCTGGTTTCAATAAAGTAGGCTGGGAGTAACCACAATATAATAAAAGTCAGTTAGAGCTGCAATTATCTCTGGGCCCCGAGCTTGTAACATAACAGCTAAGTGGGTGCTCCCCAAAGCCACCTCCACCTTTCCCTGGCCGTGCTTCTCATGCTAGCACCATGGGTAAAATTCATCTGCTAGAGGCGCTGCTCCTTTAAGCATTTTGGATAGGCCAGTTCACAGTCACCAATTTCAACTGGTGTCAGATAGATGGCTCCAAATATTTTATTAACAACAGTGGGTACAATTTGCTGAAATCTGGAATCACCATGATGAGATATTACAGCTTTGGGGAGATTCCTTTTAGCTTGAAAGAGAATGGAAAAGTCAAAGTTTCCAGTGGAAAAAAAATATTTAAAAAAATCATTTTAAGACTTGCCAAAGCCAGCAGGTTTTCTTCAGCAGCTGCTTTTTTACATCAAGTGCAGTTGACTCTGTGGCCTACTTTTTAAATTCATTTACTTATCAAGACAACACATTTCATTTTTTTTTTAAAGTAACACATGCTTTCAACAATTTTTCTAACAAAATCATTGAGTTTCTTGAATGTTTACATCTCTCTCTGCAGAAAACTGTTTCTGCCAAAACATTTGCAGGCAGCTTTAACATGCTTGACGTCCAGATCACAGGTTGTATTTTACAGCTCCCCGAGTACAGCAGAACAAACGCTGTTATTATATACAGCCAGGAAAACATAAAACCAACACAAGAGCAGAGAGCTGCCTGCAAAGCATCCATCAGCCTCGCGCCCTGCTCCGGACCAAGCCTGGAAAGCTGCTGTCACAGGGACACCTTCCCGGCAGCACGATCCAACACAGACGCATCCGAGCACACGTGCAAACGCTTACCCACATAAATGGAAATCAAAAATGTTTTTTTTTTTTTTTCTCTCTCCAGACACCTCAGCTACCATTTCTGGCTGTCTAGGGATGATTTCAACCTTGCTCCATACCCTTAGCTCACCACAAAGCTGCCTATAAATAGCCCTGGCTTTTCACCTGCAGATTTAGAAGGCCCATCCCCAAGGGAGGGGGTGTAGTAGCAAATATGGCTAAAGGCATCGCATGCACAAAAATCACAGCCCCTGTGAAGACCCTGTGCAGGGATGAGCAAGATGTTGCTTTCTCCAAGGGAAGAGCCCTGGCTGGGCACCCCAACTTGGCACATCTGCCTCCCAACCACTTCTTGAGCCCTTGCATCCGCACACATGACATCACGCCAGCCCTTTTCCAGGATCAGCGTGCAATAAACAGAAACGTCAGACAGAAGAGCTGGAAACTACAGTTTATTTATTCCTGCCCAATTTCATGGCTCTTGCCCAAAGCTGCGGGTTGGCAGGCGAGACAAACTGCTAAACAAGGGGCTTGTGACGTGCTGTGTCTGTGTGGACAGGCATAAGGGGGTGGGAACAACTGGGGGCTAGAAATAGGACAAAGAACAGAGATTTATTATTGGGTTCATAGAAGAATGTCTTACGCCCTCCTTTCATTGTCTAGCACTTCATGTCTTTCCTCCAGAGGTGTGACAGGGGCCGCTTCGAGGACACAGGGCACTAAGGGGCTGGGGACACACGTGGAACCAGGTTACAGCTTCCTTCAGCGCTGCAGAAGGGCAGGTGGACCTGAACAGGTCAGCTGGAGCAGGACAGGTGGCAGCATTGCCTTTTGCATTTGTCTGCTTTCCTCCTGTTTCTAACGTTTTTAAGAAAAGAGTGAAAAAATCTAAGTGTTAGTTGCAGAGAAGTTTAATACACTCCAGACTTGAGATGTTCTTTGTTTCTAGCTGCGGTCAGATGACTTCTTCTTGCTGGAACTTAGGAATGAGCTATGCGGTAATACACGCAAGAGAGTCTTCCTAGCAAAAATCACCCTATTGCATATTGTCTGTGATGGCAAACTGCTCTCAGTCTTAGACTTGGCTTTTCCTTCAGAGTCTTCAGCAAGCTCCTCAGAACAGCTACTTCCACTGGGCTGTGACAGCCCTTGGGTTTGCTCTTCCCAATCCGCTTCTGGAGATGCTTCAACAAGCTCTTCTCCTGCCACGTGGATGGACGTAGCCTTTCTTAGCTTGTCTTGCTCAACAAGCATCTTCACCACTGGGGCTGTGTGGGTGGTATAGGCCGGCCATGGGTTGTGGTGCTCAATCAGGTGGCTGGGCAGGCCCGTGTTGACTGATGACAGGGTGTTCTCTGGAATCCAAGAAAGAGACACTGTGAGAGGGCAGCACTCACAGTCCATTAAGTTTTGACTTCTTCTGGCTCTCTGGAAAGGGCAAAAAGAAGAACAGCCTTCGCTGACACCAAGGATGCTCTTCACAGCCAGTAAGGACCATGTGCCAGCGAGCTGCTGCTGCGTGCAGCCCCAGCGCGAGCGTGCCAAGTGCTTTGCAGAGTAAACACACCTGGCTTGGTCCCTCGTCCAGACAAAAGGTGCAACAAAGTGCAAGGAATGAGCACAGCGAGGCAGTGAAATAAGGAAAGACAAGGGTTACGATAACCAGGTATGGCTTCAACCCCTTGCGCACCCACCTTTTGTTTCTGCTGCAGCATTTACCCCTGCTGCACAAAGCTAGGCATTTCCAGCTCAAAGCTTTTGATGTGAAGAGCTAATCTCACAAGTTAGAAGTAGGAGGACACGTGTGTATGCTAGGTGTGGCCTCCTCGTATCTCCTCATGTTTGCAGAGTGTTATTTTGATCCTAGATAAATATTGCTGCTCATGATGGTCACGTAGGCTGCGCTTTCAAAAGGGCCTTGTGCTCAGCTGTGCTGCTTAATTGCAACATCTGCAACAATGGTATCGTCACATGGACAGTATCACATACATGTCAAAAAAGGAAAATGCTTTCATATTTTTGTTCATGCTGCAGAAGAATGTGGAGTGACTGAAGACAGCCCAATTTGGGCGTTTGATGAAACAGGAGTGTTTGGTGACAGAGTCATGGGGGAGACTGTTTAGATACTGGTCAGGGAAGATTTGCCAGGTAGTTATTTCCCTGAACTGGGTGTTCTGGTGGAAAAAGCACTGAGATGAGCCATGAGGTCCCAAGATCTGAATGCAAGTTGCCCATGCTGGAGTGCGGAGACAGAGGCTAGTGACAATGCAAACCCCAGATGTTTTTCTCCAACCTCATATTCAGCCTTTCCCAAACCAACAGTGACAAGAGGAGTTCAAGGGCAAGAGGAGAGATGGGCATGACCCTGCCAACACAGAACTCACCTAAATCCACCAGAGTTTCCATGTTTTTGCTTGGCTAGGTTGCTCATGGAGGCTACCTCAGAAATGGCTCAACATTCCCACTAAAAGGCTTGAGAGGAGACAGCCAGATGCTGTGGCATTACTTCAGACTGTGTATAGCAACACACAGCACTGCAGAAAAAATGCCAAGGGGAAGCCTGGAGATAACAGTATCTCAGAGCAAAAAGAGATGGGGCCATCAGCCACCATTCAGTATTTACTGCTTGCACTTAGTTCCTGCTCTGGAAGTGATTTCAAAGCCCAGAGAAGAAAGCCTCTGCAGCATCCCTAGAAATCCTCTAGGCATATCAGCTCCTCTGCTTCATAAGCAGCTGCTAGAAGAACTTCCCCCTGGATTGGCCTGGTGTACTGGAGAAGACCTCCCAGAGCATAATTAGATTTATTGCCTCCCAGCTGTAGTTACAGAACTATTGTCTGCCCTTGCAAGTGCTCTATTAAATTTGGACTAGGATTTATCTGAAGCTGCCCAAGATGAGATATCTAGATATCTACTCATGAACTACTCCAATGGGAAGCGGTCCAACAAAAATCACTTCCCTTCCTGATGCCAGCTCCGGATTCTCACCTACAAGATGTCCAGGGCACACCACGATGGGATTGTCACATGCCAGCCAGACCATGGTTTCTAGTGACAGACACAATCCTAGCACAGCCTGCCTCAGAACACAGAGGCCAGCTCAGTGTCAGCAACGCTCCACAAGATGCCATTAGGAAATTGTCCAAGTCACACTCATGCTGCATTCCCCTGCACACTCAGCTGAAGGGGGTTGTCCAGAGCCCAGTTTTGGCCTCATGCACCACCATGTCCTGGTCTGCTGTCAGAAGGTATTGGTCCGGTTTCTCAGACCTCAGCAAACAAATTGCTGAGGAAGCATCACTACCCTGCACAGCACAGGCACCAGCTTAGTGAGTCCCTGCAGCTACAATGAGAGTTAAGAGGTTTTTCCCCTCAAGAGCAGTTTCCTCTAGTCTCTGCTTCCAGCACATTTTCTTCCCCAACAATCATCACTTTGAGCCTTTCTGGACAGGTCTTTATAGATTCCTGCTCCCGCAGGGTGCAAGTCTTGCATCCTCATCTGTAGGTGCACACCGAGAAGACACGATCAGGATTGCACAGGGTTCTGCACTTGCACCCCATCCCTTGTTCTTGTCAGGTCTCACAAACTAAACAGGCTGCTAAAATTCACTGTTTCTATTTCCTGGGGTGACAATAAACAAATGCCAAGTTGAGAAAGATCCTGCCTGTAGTAGCAAGATCAGAAAGTGTCTAAAAGCAGTGATAAGAATTAACAGCTAAGGGCAGTAAGGCACCTCGCCTTGTCAGGTGCCTCTATAAAACAATCTCAGCAGCCTCTTCAGCTAGGTCAGTCAGGAGCATCTGAGCTAAGCCAGCCCCTATAGACACAGTCATACTGCCCTCCAACCCCTCTCCAAAAAAACCAAAAACAAAACAAAAAACAGCTTGCAGTGCTGAATTTGACATCTTCATTGGAAAGTACTAGCCCTGGAATAGAAAGACAAAAAAAAAAACCTTCCACCTGGATATTTTCCAAAGAGGGCCTTGAACACTATAGTGTTTGGGCTGGGACTGTAAAAAAAAAAAATCACCCTACTGTTAGCTTTTTTGAACCCTGTCCACAAAAAAAAAAAATTAGAAAAGCACGGCTGAAAGTGCTGTTGTCACAGGAATAGTATCTAAGCAAAATAATTTAGGAGTCTGATCTAACTCTCATGGGCAACCGACAACGCTCCAGCAGCATCCACCCAAGCTGGCAGCAGCATCTACAGCAACTTGTCACGCAGGAAGGCGACACGGAGGGTCCCCGGAGCAGCCTGTGCACAGCGCCCGTTCAGAGGGGGACTGAAAGCTCATATAAAAGGAGACTGCTAGACCAGCTTAAAATAAATAAATAAGCAACAGGAGGGTGAGGCCAAACCTGTTTGGTCTTGCAAGTCAAAGGCAGCTCCAGATCAGATTGCAACTTCCTAACTTCATACCTGGCCAGATTTTGGTCCTATTAATGTCAGGTGGGGGGGAGGGTCATTTGAGGACAGCCTCGGTTTGACACCCATGCATATACATGCAGACATTATGTTTTACAAGAATACCAACCTTACACCTGTAGCTGTTCTTCCTGAGAATGTGCTGCCTGACAGATCTTCAAACCTCTGCTGCTGAAACCCTTCCAATCTGCTCGAGAGTCAGCTGGGCCACTTCAAAGGGACACCCCAGTCCTCCTCTCTTTGGCATTTCTGGACATCCTCTGAAACTTTCCCAGAGTCTTGGCGCTCCAAAGCCTCACACAAAGTCCCAGTCTCCAGCTTTGTATGTACTGTGTTGCTAGGACCACAACTGCAGCTTCCCAGAAGCTAGAGGACATACTCTTTACACTCAAGTTAATGCCAAGGGAATGCACTACACAATGTCCTCCAGATCCTCTAGGGCAACTTGCAATCAAGTGTGAAAACCAAGAGCAGAGTCTGTGCTTTGGTCTGTGCAGGGGCTGCAACCATTTTCAATATCAGAACACAAAATAGAGCTTTGCCCACAGGCCCTAAAGAGCAGAGCTCTTCCTTGGAATCATTCTTAACATCTGCAAATTCTTCCAGTCTAGAATCAAATGCTAAAACCCTCTGTGGACACAGTGGGGGACCCCATCCCTGCCCAGCTTGACCAGAGCCACGAACCCACTCAAGTCCCTTCATGCTGATTTGTGATGCAGAGCTCCAGCCAGCTCAGTCTAACCAGACTACTAAATCAGAGTCACAACAGGTTTTTGGACACCACAGCAGCACGCTTTAGAGAATTAAGCTGAAAAGACTCCTCCGACAATGATCCTTTGTGAACCAGTGAATAAAAATGGGTAGTATCAAAGCTTTACAGTAAAAGTCACCAACAAGAACTAAGATCGCCACATTTCAAAGGAAAAAAATGGGGAATGCACAGCCAGTTTTAAAATCCTAATCAAATGCTTAAACTTCAAGACACTCACAGGCAAAGGTCTAACTTGGTTTCCCAAAAAACAATTCATAATGCCATGAGTTTTGCAGGCAAAGAGGGAGACCACATTCATGCACAGACCAGTGTACAGAGTCGAGTATGCAGTATGTTATGCAATAACATTATGCACAACTTTTATATTATTAACATATACAACATTAAAAACTGGTTGCATTTTGTTCAGGCCAAAACTGGCTTGAATACGACTTCCCCTAATTTTCAGGTTTTGCTAGCAAGTTACTTCAAATTAGCCCTCCAGGCCACTCTGTTGAGTGTTCTCCACCATTTTATGTTTCATTTTCAGATTTTCTTTCTATGTTCTCATATGTTTTTTGAAAGAAAACCATAAACAAAGTTGTGCTGCTAAAAGCCTTGGTCAATAAACATTTTCCTAGTCATCTGCAAGTCTCTACTGCACAGGATACACTACAGGCAAAGAGATTCAACCTAATAAAGAGACAGACAGTTTCCCAAGAGAAAGGAGGGAAGGCTGCTTTTTATGAGACATTTAAGCCATAAAGCACCCAATGCTTTACTTCATGCTACAGCTTGTGTGAATTTTTCTTCTAAGAGTTGCTGGCAGCAAGACAATTTTCACACTCTTATATTTAGAGAGACTTGCCTGAAAAATAGCCAAAGCTGTCACTTATAAATCAGGTTGCTCTGACAGTACCCAGAACAAGTAGTAAAAGCAAATGAGGGGGAAATGAAATTACATGTTACAAAAAACTCTGAAATAATAAGGCTTTTATTTTGTATTTTTAAAAGCTCACAGTAATTGCAGCTATTTTTTTTTCTTCTGTTCTTTCATTTGTTTTTAAGCCAGGCCCTGCTGACATGCTCTAGGCCCCCAGACTGTGGTTGCTATTCATTTGGCTTTGGCCATATGGTTCCCATATTCTCAGCTAGGACATTCTGCTCACAGGAGCCA